ATGTACCACATACTAGTAACTTAAAATATCTCTATATAACACTTGAAACACATTCAAGTTAGTATACAAAGGCAACACCCTGTAATGTTTTTATTATTTATGCTAATTTTTAATTTAGCTAGGTCAATATTAATAATAATAATAATAATAATAATAATGTACCTAGTGCTATGAATGACTAATGAAACAGAAAACAAAATTCTGTCAGTAAGCGATGATTTATATATTAAGAAAGGAGCCTGTATCTCAAACGAAAATTTCTTATTATTATTATAAAAGCCATTTTTTGCCCTGTCCGGCCTTTTGTTTACCTTATCACCGTTCAAGACTGTGTTCCGCTATCGCTGGCCGATCGAGAATCGACTAGAAAGTTGTTTTGCACGCAACCAGATGCATAATGTTAAACATTATGAAACTGGTTTCGAAAAATTCATTGTCACCAGTTGCGAAAAGAAAAATAAACTATTTTTGGTAAACTATTGTCGGTATTACAGTCTATCAAAAAACATCCTATAAACATAAATTCCAACCACTTAGTAAAACTAATAAGAGAAAAACTCATCAACCTTAAAAATAGTGATACAAATATAGTTTTTTGTTGGGTTAAAGCTCATGTGGGAATAGTTGGTAATGAAATGGCAGATCTCGCTGCAAAAGACTCCACAAACTTAGAGTATTGCGAGAAACTTTACACGGTTCCCGATATTATCAATTGCTTTAAAAAAGAAATTAGAATCAATTGGGAAAAGATCTGGATTGATTTCAAACATAACAATAATTCAAACAATCATTACACACAAATTCAGCCTAATACATCTAATACTGTTTCTCACATTTCTGAATTTCAAGTATCCAGACAGTATTCTATTTACATTACTAGAATGAGGTTGAACCATGGTGGGTTTCCATCCCACCTATTTAAAATCGGTGTCCTAAAAACACCCTTCTGTTCTTGTGATAATAATTCAGTAGGAGATTCTTAATCATTTGATATTTGCATGTAACAACCACAACAAATATAGAAATAATTTTTTAACGAAGTTATTAGATATAGGGATTTCTTTTCCAACCAATATTACGTTGCAAACAATAAAAAAGTATTTGATACATTGATAACATTTATTAAAGAATCTAAAATTAACATATAAATAATCAGTGGTAACAATTGTAATAAAAATAATAATGTCTGTGGAAAATGGGTTAAATCCGATGCCAGTCAACCACTGCACACACACACAAACTATTTTTGGTTTTAAAATAAATGTAGAGTTATGTGATTTTCGGTAGAAAGAAAATTCTTATCAACTTTGACAAAAATAACTTTATTGACAACTAAACAAAACGTATATGTATATAACATAATCAAGTAGGATTCTGAGTCACAATGAAACAAACAGTTAGTGCGCTCAGCTTCTAACAATAAATAACATACATTATTATTGAAAGTTTATATCAAAGAAGGGCAGGTTGACTTATAAACATAGAATTTGGTTAAACCTACAATCTAGTAATAATGTTGTTTGGGTCTATATTTTCCAATCTAAATCAGCACAAAATAAATAAAACACAATACACAACAAATTAACTCACTTTTTTGAAAACTAAATATCTTTAATAAGCCATATAAACAAACTACAAGTCGTTGAGAATAAATAAATAATAGTATGTTCCATTTGTCAATAAAATGATGCATATGCAACTAACAATACAAGAAAGTAGTAATATTGGTTGCCTAGATGTCAGTAATGTTTTACCAAAAGGCAATTTTATAAATAATCAAGTCAAAATTAGAAAAAATATTGTATGTAACACGTTACGAAATGCCATTATATGTAACTCGTTCATGTTGTAGGATCTCGCTCTGCTCGTCCCGCAAATATTTACTCGTTACATAAAATAAGGCATTTCGTAAATGGTTTCATAAATAGCTATTAAAAGTATCTTGAACATGTTGTTTTTAAAAAATAGAAGCTTTAGGATTTAAAATTAAAAACTACTGTCGGGGGAAATCTTGAGAGAATGCAGCTAATATGTCAGAAAAATATAACGGGTTGCAAATTAGAATTAACTATATACTGCTATAAACAGGGCAAGGGCGTCTCCAAGACAAATTTTCGGAGGGGCCATTTCCTTTAGCCATTCCGTTTTTAGCATATTCTTTTTCAATAAAAGGCTCATAAATCGTAAGAATTTTCATCTCGGGGGGGGGAGGGACATGGCTCCCCCCCCATGGAGCCGCGTTTGATACAGGGCATCCCATTAATAATGGGAAACAGATCGAATGAAGATTCTCTGATTAAAAATAAGATCATTAAACGAAACATGCTTACATAAAATATTACTCGTTTTCGAAATACAGGATGTTGAAACTTCAAAAATTATTAATGGCTATAATTTTTTTATTTTACTAATTTATTTTTATTCATTTATATTTTACTAAATTTGCTTACATACGGATTGTCATTTCACGACAGTTCTTTCTTGTAAAGGGCGCGTTTTCAAAATAGTAATTTACGTCACAAGACCGGAAAGTAGTGTTTTGCAGGTAAAGCAGATTCCAAGGCGAGCTGTAGGCGAGACCTGGAAGCTGGAGAGACCTGCTAACACTAATTTTCGGTCGCGTGACATACAATATTTCTTTTAAGACAGACACTTTGATGTAAACTCAATTATTTATTTTATTTAATAAAGTGATTAACAAATACTAAAACTAATAGATACAACTGCATAAACTAACCAAATACATTATTTTTGAATATGTATGTTAAATGTACATTTTTGCTGCTTCAAACATTTCTTCTGGAATTTCATTTTTTATGTCAGATAATTCAAACAGAGATCGGAAAAATGAAAAACAGGTCCCTAACGTCTACTTTCCGGTCTTGATCGGCAAAACTTTATTGTCTAACGAAAAATTGTTCAGAAAGTGTATACTTTCTGGTTGGTCTTTAAAAAAAGCTTTTTTATCTGGCATTTTCTAAAATTGATTCGGGCCGCAGGAAAATGATTAGTGGGCTGCATGCGGCCGGCGGGCCGCATGTTTGATTTGACTGTTATAAATTGATTGGTTTTCGAGATATTCGCCCTCATTCTTTTTAAATTTTATGATTTAAAAATTCTCAAACAAAAGGATATAACAAACATCAATAAATTTAAAATTATAGTTCAAAAATATTTTGGACAGTATCGTAAAATTTATATAGGATGAAGGTGTTACTTAGCCATTCCGTACGCCACTGGAGAAGTTTATTTAATAGATTTTTGGTGATAAGTGTTTATGACACCAAAACAGTCTGCCGAATTAAATAAAATGTTACTGAATAATAAAAATTTTAGAGCCCATTAATCATTATTGAATTTGGGAAACAAATAACATTTTACCCGAACATGTTTCGTTTAATCGTCTTATTTTTAATCAAAGGACCTTCATTTGTTTTATATTCCATTTTTAATCGGACTCCCTGTTTGTACCATGTACAAATCATATTTTAAATTTAGTTGTTAATTTTTCAAGCGAATTCTGTCGTCAGTTCTAATTATTTCTCCTTAATTCATGAGATAAACGTTTTCTTCATCGCTGGTCTATTTTATTGAATCGATTTCTCTCAAACGAATTAGTGATGGTAAGTCCGATCTGATGCAGTAGCCGCTGTCCAATTGAACTGTAAAGTAGTTACAGACATTTTTTCGGAGATGACAATAATCAAAAGCATGTAACAGGGAACAAGAAAATGCAAAAATTTTAATCTGCATTGTTGACTACCATACGGTTCAAAATTTTGGAAAGAGTCAATGCTTGGCTTTACAAAATCCATAAATTATTATATCCAATCGTACGCTAAATAAAGGGGGTCGAAAAATCCGCATGAAGCCCCATTGCCTTTAAAACCGACCCTGTATACCGTATACCTGTCCCAGATGTACTAATACAAAAAACCATGGATTTTTACAAATAAAATGTTAATATTAGTTAAGTACTATTACAGTAAAACAACAATAATAAGTATAACTAAAATAAAAAGTACTGAAAAAGTTTAAACTAATTTTATTTAAATAAAAAAAACACCTACATCCCAAGAAGATCAAAACATTTACATATGAGATTTTGTTTAATAATACATACCTATTTTTATTCTGCGATTTATTTAAAACGTAATTATTTTATTTAACGTATTTTTACTATTAATGTTTTAATATTTTATGGCACTTGCCAGTCAGTTATAAGAAATACAAAAGTTACATAGGTACTTCAACAGGTATGCGAAGCAAGATAGATGTCAGACCTCTTCAACATAAAATCGGCAATTATGATACAATTTTAGTAGTATGAATAGTTGCCCCAAAATACACGAAAACATTCGCATCATCGCATCTCTTAAAAATTGTATATTTACATCATTTCACTTTGGTACCTTTTATACGTTAAATCCAGATTAGTGAAAATTCAAAACATTTTTTGGAATTTACGCCTTTTAGGTCTGAAATCATATAGTAATTTGGAATCGACTCAATGAAATAAGCCAGATACAGCAATTTTAAATTTTTATTTTTTTAAGTAGTCTTTGAGGCATTTTCAATAAAAAATAGGCATGGAAATGTGTTGATATTTGATAAAATCATTGAAATAATTAAGCATATAGTATGGTTTCATTATTTTATTTAATTAAACAATTTTATTTATGTTCGTACTGTCAAACAATAATAATTCCTCTTTTACTAAAATTAAATAATATAGAAAACACATGAGGCGTCATTTATCAAAAAACAAATATGTGTATAAACGATTAAAATTAAAATTTGTATATCATTGTTTCATACTAAGTAGATACAAAAAAACTGAAAAGTTTGTAGTTCACGATTTTTATAAATTTTTCGCATTTATGTGGTATTAAATTGAATTATATTTTATGTATTACTATAGTTGATGGGAAACTATCAAATTAGATTTGGTGATTTTAGTTTAATTATCTAAAACAGATGATTTAAAGAAAGAGTGCAGAATGGATGGTAATAAATTAACAGCTACCGAAGAAATTCAAGTGATTCTACCGACTACAAACAGTGACAGTAATCTCATTGAAGAACTTTGCTTGTCCAAAGAAACGTCATGTGGGTTGTGGTTTATCAGAGGAAAATGTTTGGAAAAATTTGCAAATAAAAAGGCTTACGTGTTTCTGTACGGTATATTAGGATGCGCTTTTTCGGCCGCTTATGCTTATTTTAATGGTACCATTACTACTCTGGAAAAGAGGTTCAAAATACCCAGCAGAACTACAGGTAAAAATCAAAATATATTTAATATCTGTCTGAGTTAGGTCGTGGTAAAAGTTGAGAACCTCTAATAATAATAAAGCTCTACTTATTGTAACAACAAGCAGTGACGGTTCGTGGTAATTTAAAATAGGTGTTCACTTTTTCTAATAATTTTATCATTTGTTCGGTTCAAAACTTTGTACAAGTGTGTAGTTATCATTATCAATATTATACTGTTTTCAAACACTACAACTATTAATGAATGAATAAATGAATATTTTAGTTATTGTAATATTTGGTTTGTCTTTAATATATTGAAAACCTTCTATAAACATTATTAGTTAGTCAACTGACTTTTCTTCATATTTTGAGATTTTTTTTAAATATATATATCAGGTTATGTAGAAAGCTTGACATTGATTTTTGTGTGAAAAATATTATTATATGAAACTTTACTAACCATTTTTCAGTTTTTATTATAAATTTATTCATTAACAAGTGAACTGAAATGTGTATTTTATAAGATCAGTCCCATCCCAATACATAAATATTACACAGATACAAACTAGAATGAAGATATTTAATTATTTATTTAATTAAAACATCCAACGGCCAATAGCCACTTACAGGATGAGTGGTAATACAGAAACTTAAGGAGGTCCTTTCGCCACCAATGTTAAATAAAAAATATTAGATTATGACTAAAATTAATTTTTTTCTAATAGTTGAAGTCCTTATTTATCTAATAGTGAACTTTTAACTATACCTTACCGTGCAAATTTTTGAGAATTTTTTTTTAATGTGAGTATTTGTACAGTGTTTTACGAGAAAGTAAGACTTCAACAACAATTTTCGAATTATAATTAAGTATACTATTATTTATTGATTAGACAGAGTAAAAAAACTAAAAATAAGGTTTTTGAAATATTTAGGTTTTGTTTTTTACAATAAAATGTATAGGTTGCCGTGGAATTTATTGAGAAATTAATATTAAAAAATAACAAAAAATTTTCAACTAGGTTACTTGATTTTATTTTTTTAATATTAATTTCTCAATAAATTCCACGGTAACCTATATATTTTATTGTAAAAAAAAAAACCTAAATATTTCAAAAACCTTATTTTTAGTTTTTTTCTACTCCATCTAATTAATAAATAATAGTATAATTTGAGAATTGTTGTTGAGGTCTTACTTTCTCGTAAGACACTGTACTAAACCTCACATTTAAAAAAAAAAATTTCAAAAATTTGCACGGTAAGGTATAGTTAAAAGTTCACTATTAGATAAATAAGGACTTCAACTATTAGAAAAAAAATAAATTTTAGTCATAATCTAATATTTTTTATTTAACATTGGTGGCGAAAGGGGTGACGAAAGGACCTCCTTAATAACTAAAAACACAAAAAAAATAAAGAACAAGAAAATAATTAATTGAACTGAAATTGTGTGGGTACCTTGAAAAAACTTTCCATGAGAGAAAAAAGTTACCTACACAAATCAGTGCAAATAGGGAAAAATAAAAATATAAGTGCAAAGGAAAACCTAACAAAAATAATTTACAATTACGAAAACAATGTTTTTATTTTATTTATCGAAGTACAGAATATATCGATGTTATCCAAAGTTATTTACTTCTGATAGAATACTGAATAATGGTGACCGACACAGCACATTGGTTTTAGGAATCGGAAGTGAAAAGGTTTGAACATGGATATAAAAATTAAGTTGACTTAATAATGTTGAACATTTGATGCGATTATGTACTAAATTATAAATAAAAATAATGGCTGACATAATCCTTCTCGTGAGTAAACTCGATATTTTAAATAATACTATCCTGGGGAAATCCTCTTACTGGATATGTACCATAAAAACGAAATTGCAAACCTTTTAAAAATCGATGCTGAACTCGTTCTAACGCTAAAATCTGAACATTGGTATTGGGAGACAGGCTTGCAGGTATCCTCATTATTAAAATCTTTTATCAATAGTAAAATGAAGCCCAAAAATTTGTAAGCAGATGCAGTAATGTGATTTATGTGATCCGCAAAGGTTATTCTGTGATCAAATATGACACCAAGGTTATTTAATGTATCAGGTCTATTAAGAATACTACCATCTAAGTCATAGGCGCCGAATCCCCGGGGCTCTGGGTGTGGCAACGAACTTTTCACTCAAAATACACACATTTTTTTCTACGATCACACTACTGTTTAATTTCATAGTAATGTCAATTGATGTCTTTGGCATTCAAGGTTAAAATGGCATTTTTACAATATTCTTCTTGTTTAGTATTAATTCTATATTGGTTATTGCTTAGAGCTGTGGCTTGAAAGGAAATATTATTTTCCACCAAAGCGACCAAGTAACATCAATAATATCAACTATTGGGGAAGCACCCCAAAACAGGCACATGGAAAAGCCTTCATAGGCAGACCCAAAAGAACTAGAGAACTACTCTTTATGAATAGGAACCAGTTGAAAGTGATAACAGGGTTCATGTTTGGGCACGCCCCAGTAAAGGGACACTTGAACAAAATTGGCATGTACAATGGGGAACTCATATGCCAACTATGTCACAAGAAACCAGAAACGGCCAAACACATACTGTGCGAATGCGAAGCTCTAGATCGCAAAAGACAGGCTCTTTTTGGACAACCCCAGGTTGATCCAACAACGTATAGAACCCACTCACCCAAGGATCTGTACAAACTTGTACAAGGTACAAAGGTGATAGAGAGGGTGCTATGAACTAACATGGGATAAAACACAATAAGCCAATAGGCTTCAGTGTTATTCGGAGACACATATACTATTCCTTTCTTTTGTTGTAGATTTTTGCTACCTCCAGCTTGGCCAGGAGAGGTTTCTGGAGAGGAGTTGGCTTTTCGATTTATCTTCTATTGTTTCTGCTTTCCACTGTTATCTATTCTGCTTCTTTATTAATGTGATTGCCGATTTCTCTTGCCATTTTTTCTTCATCAGTCTCATAATTCGTTAGAGATTTTCTTTGTTTAAGACATTAATTTGCTTTGCAAATTTTCTATATTGTTGTGCATTTTTTGCAATGCCCTTCATAATTGTTTTTCTAGCTTTTTAATGTATTCAAGCATTGTACAGCGCCTGTTCATTTTGACTTCTAGCTTAATTTTTAGATAAGGCTTGATATTGATGGGCCAGGAGATTTTCTCCTACTTCTATTGTTTCCATATTATTTGTTTGATTTTTCTGAATTAGGTCCTGTTTTTTTACTCCAAAAGCACAGCAGGTGTCGGTTCTGTTTTTTTATTTTTTCTACACATTGTAAAACTATTTTTATTTGCACACCTGGTGCACCGGAACCTCGGGCTAAACGTCGTCTCCGAGGGTTTTCCAAACACGATCGCAAAAGACTAACCAATAATCATCTTATAATTTTACATTCATTGATGTGTAACTCTCGCCTGGGGCCCTCGAAAAAGTTGATCCAGTCCTGTAAAATTCTAGATGCCGGGTTTGAATAGAGCAAGGACAATTACGAGAATAATCTCCGGCTAGATCTCCGAACTTTGCCGACCGGCATTTCACTTTTCTCCCAACGCTTGAAACGCTTTTGTGTAAGTATACACAAAAACTTCTTCCTAAGCAGTGTTACCAGCCTAGTACAATTGTACTAGATCTAATACATTATTCTGGTACTCTATTAAACTTGAAGCAAAATCTAGTACTTTTTCTTTTTTTAGCCTGTTTCCATTTGATGGGTAAAATATATTTCTGGTTGTTTTTGGCGATCTTGTCAGGACAGGACGTCCATGTTTAGGCGTACCAGGTGTCCGGAAGGTGTTCGACGATACCACATTTGAATTCAGCACCCCCAAAAACGCCCATAACGATTTTCGGTTTGTCTTTTTCGATTGTGTAAGGAAAACTCACGGACTTGAGGTCCACGTCCAGGTTCCGGTGCAACAGGTGTCCAGGGGGTCGTTTTCAATATGAAATTTGGATTCAGTACCCCAAAAAACGCCCCCACATTGATTTTCGGGTTGTTTTTGGCGATTTTGTCAGGAAAATTCTCGGGGATGAAGGTCCACGTCCAAGTTCCGGCATACCAGGTATCCGGGGGGGTGTTCGCCGATGCCATATTTGAATTCAGCGACCCAAAAAAACCCCAGACGCTGAATTTCTCTCCTTCCTCGCATGAATTTCGGGAAAGTCCCACAGAGATGACGTTCATCGGCTTTCCCGAGCTCCAGGTCGGCTGTGGTCAATTCGAACATCATAATCGTGATCAAAAATCTCGAAAACCCCGGCAACCCGATTTGGGCCAGTTCTAACTCTTATTTACAGAGTTCTTTAATCTTCCAAAAGCCGTCTCAAAAAAAAATTATTTTTTAAATTCATTTTTGGCTGCAGCAATGCAATTTCCGGTTTGTATAAAATAAAAAGTAGGGGCATTTTTTCCAAAATATTTTTGGAAGCGAATGCAAAAAAACCGCATTCCGATCCGTCTTTTTTGCTTCAACGCTTCGACTATATTCACGGAGTAAAGTAAACATACATCCTCACTTATCGACAGCCGGATATAAACTTATTAATTAATATAATTATTATAATTAATTATATTTGTTTTAATTTTTCAGGCATAATATCTGTTGGTAACGATTTAAGTCAACTTCTAGTCTCTGTAATTTTAAGTTATTATGCAGGAAGAGGACATAGACCTAGATGGATGGCTTTGGGCATGTACTCTGTTGTACTGTTCTGTTTGTTGTCCGCAATGCCACATTTTCTCTACGGAGGCGGTGAAGATGCTCTCTCTCTAACTCTAGAGCACAAGGTTTATAACAATTCTACGCTTGACGATAACATAAATGCTTTACAAAATGCTGAAAAAGATTTGTGTCTCGGAAAACATAAAGCTAATCTAAATTGTCATAAAGAAGAAGGAAACGTTTCTCCACAGCTCATTTTATTTCTTGCTCAATTCGTTTCTGGGATAGGAGGTTCTTTATATTACACCTTAGGAGTTTCCTACATGGATGACAATATCAGAAGATCTAAAACACCCGCTCTTTTAAGTAAGTTTAAAAAGTTATTTATAGTAGGTAGTTTTTTTCTATAAAACATACGCTAAAATTGATTTTTGTCGTTGAGTCAATATTTTTCGAGGTGTAGTACATTTTATTAACAATGTTACACGTTAATGCAAAGAAAGTTTGTATTGGAACGAAGAAATCGCTAAAATCATTAATTCACATATGTTATGCATTTTAATTTAATAAATACTCTTTCTTGTTTAAAACATTTTACATCGAGCGTTCGACAAATGCTATTTAGTTCTTTATTCTACTAATAGTTATATCATGATACTATAAAAAGAATGAATGATATTACGTCGATTGATACTACGTCACGGTGACGTATTGGGGTGTGGAGGCCAGACTTTTACGAATTTGAGGTATCAGCTTATCGAAAATCTCGTGAGAATACAAATTTTAATCTTCCCTCTGGCCATATTCTACACCACAATACGTCATGCGCGATCTCGACGAGATTTTGTCGGCAAAGTATCGTACCTCTTTAATTTTTTGCATCATGATAGTATAATAATATTCGTCTTTACGAGATGTATTTTATCATTTATACTCACGGTACAGCTAACTATTATTTTAAATTTTAGGTTTTACTTATTTTATTCGAATGCTAGGTCCAGCTTTAGGTTACGGACTGGCGTCAATATGTTTAAAATTATATATAAACCCAACGTTAACTCCTACCATTGACAATCATGATCCAAGATGGTTAGGTGCTTGGTGGTTAGGATGGATCATTTTATCTGTGGTGATATTTATTTTGTCAACATTGCTAGCATTATTTCCAAAGCAGTTACCTAGAGCCGCTGTCAGAAAGGAGTTACTAAAAAGGCAGATATCAAGACAAATCTCTTCACTACAATCAAATATATCTTCGAGTAAACTGGAAGCTGAATTACCACCTTCATTTAAAGGTATTTTTTTTATTTAAAAACGTTTTTAAAAATAGTACAATTGGTACGTAAATAATACTAACACATTATTGGCTTTAGCTTAGCTTTATAACTATCTACAACAATTTAAATTTACTATAGGGAGTAGATGCTTGATTTTATTCATTCGAAATAGGTTATTTTAGAAGTTCATTGAATGAAGAAATTAAAAAACACAAATGCTGTTGTAGCTGTGGTAGATGGCATGAGCAACGAAGTAGAAAAGTTATAGTTTAAATAAAGTATTGTAACTGAAGGAACGCATTATTCTTCCTGGTATAATTTTGTTTTCTTTTGTAGACATGATCAAAACCTTCAAAAGAGTAATGAAAAACCCTACTTTAATGATGAACAATTTCGCTGCTGTGTTTTATTTCTTGGGATACATGCCATATTGGATATTTTTACCAAAATATATAGAGACGCAGTATAGACAATCAGCTTCGGCTTCAAGCTTAATAACTGGAAGTGTAGGACTGATATTTTCTGCTGTAGGAATACTAGTCACCGGCATACTTATATCTAAGTACAGACCGAAAGCTAGGAAATTAGCAGCTTGGAACGTTGTAGTTGGAATTACAACTGTCTGTGGAATTGTGTCTTATGCTTATCTGGGATGTTCAGATTTAGATAACAGTCTGTCTCTATTATCTAACAAAGAGTAAGTAGATTGTTTTACAACGTATCAATTTTGAAAAGATAAAGAAAACGACAAAATTTTTATAAATTCTCGGAATATTGGATTAGATTATAGTGTCACTTTTATTTTTGTTTATGTATCTAGCATGCTTTAATTTGATATACATGTGTAGAACACTTGGATAATTAGAACTCACCCGTTATTACTGAGTTTGTCGTATCTAATTATCTACCTTCTTATATGCCTTAATTTTTGATTGTTTAAAACAGCCACTTGGTATAAAAATTTCAAATTTGGTATATACATTTTCTTCGATATAGCAAACATCCAGATCCAGCTTAACAAAATTTGGTTATTTATTTTCGCCTCAAAAACAACAGCCTGTATAATAAATTTTGCACATCTGGTAAGATACTTCAGAAGAGCGGAAAAAACTGATTTAAATTAGGGTTTTTGAAATTTCCTTGTTTTGTCCTTATTTTTTGTTAAAAAATTGTTAATTTTCTAAATTTGCGCATTTCAAGCTTTCAAAATAATTTTCAAATATCAATATGTTTATATAATTTATGAATGTCTATAAAGCTAGCATATAAAGCCGCAGAGCGACTTATACTATACTTTTTGGCTAATTTTTTGCTATTTTTTTACCCACTTTTTAATTTTTTCGCTCCTGCGTTACCGAGAAACATTGGCCATGCTAGCTAGCTTGATACTAAAGCTACAATGGCCAGTGCTGTATTTCTGTTTCTATGAGACATATCAGAATCGGATTTGCGGCGTATTTTTTTGCAAATATCAATTTATTTTTTGCTATTGTGGTTCGTAACAATGGTTATGATAGCTACAGTGGCAAGTGCTGTATCTCTGTTTCTATGGGATATATCAGAATCGGGTTTGTAGCATATATTTATGATAAATGTTTTTCTATTTACAACCGAAAGAATCTTTTTTTTAGTAGTTTTCGGGAAATATTAACTCCTGTAACGTGGATATTGGATGTTACGGATAATTAAATAAAGCACTGTATTAAGTTGATTATATTTGGATAATTAGTAATTGTAACAAATAAAATAAAGTAAATTGAACAAGAGTCAAATCGATCTGTATTGATCGCGGCAAACTTCACTCTCTCTGTCATTCGTTAGGCGTCGCACTCACGGGAGCTGCTACGAGAGTACAGAGGCGGCGTTAGGGGTCGTGTTACACTCCTTTAAATTGAGAAAACCATCACCCATACCAAATGAGGTATCAAAATGATTTTTATGCCATATTTGGTTGCTAATATACTGCTCATTAGTATCTAATCAGTGTTACAATCAGTTTAATATCATAATTCTACCCAGGATCACGTAATATAATGCGTTCAAGTAATATAAAATATCTAAAAGTGTAAGTATACTATAAAAAATCTAAAAAGGTAATAACAAAAATGCTCTTTTCAATTTCTTCCATAAAACGGAAGTATTGTAATCGTGAAAAAGTCACCTTCTGAGATTATTTCAGATTTTTACGTTTTAGGGTCCCTAGATTACAAAAAACATATTTCCCCATTCTGTCTGTATCTGTCTGTCTGTCTGTCCGTCCGTCTGTTTGTTGTCACAATAGCTGAAAACGGCTTTATAGAAAAACTTCTGGCTCAAAACTAGTTAGTTATACTTCCGATCAGTTATATACTGGGTAAATAGTTCTTTTTTAATGATTTTTAGAAGTCAGTCGATTTCAACCAAAATTGTTATCTGAGCATTTTAGAAACCAAAGATAACAGATCCTTAATTAGTTTTTAAAAATTCAAAATGACGTTATAAGGAATACCATTTAATCAAAAAAGGTCCCCCTTGAATAGAAATATTAAAACGCGTCCTTTTGGTTTGTGTAACTGGACCTTTTAAAAGCAGCCGATCATAAATATTCAATAGCGGTGAACTTGATGAAGAATACCGAGCGGACTCGAAGTGAGATTTCGGGTGGGATCAAGAGGAGAGAGAAATGTGAAAAAGAGTTTTTGATTTGGTGGTTTTAATTTTAAATTATTAAAATTTAACTACTTAGGCGTTTCTGTTTTTACAATTTCTATATCGAGGGAAGTTCTGGGTGAAATACTTCGATTTTTTATTTTTGTGTTGCCAGATAATTTTTATCCTGTTAGGTATCAGGATACTAATGGTTTTACGTTCAAAATTATGATATTGCCACGATTATCAGATTTATATATTTGCTTATATCACCTAATTAAAGTGAAACAAATTTATGACATTAAATCTTTATTGACTATAAATTAAAATTATAATAAAATTGCACGAAAACATGACACTAATAACTGTCGCACTGAAAAGAAATACAATACTTAATAGGCCAGCTCATGTAAGTATAAAGCTGCGTAGCCATTGTTTCTTATGAACCACAGGAGAGAGAAAAATAAATCGATTTTATATTTCAAAAGCATAAAATTAGCAAAAAAAATAAGCCGTAAACACGATTCTGACACAGCTCATAGAGACACCTACAGCACTTGCCACTGTAGCTTAAGTATCAATCTACCACATGGCCAATGATTCCTACGAACCACATGAGCCAAAAAATAAATTGACAAATATTTCTGCGGCAAAAAATTAGCAAAAAAATATGCTGCAAAGCCGATTCTGTTATACCTCATAGAAACAGAAATACAGCACTGGCCATTGTTTTTTACGAACCAAAAAAGCAAAAAAATAAATTGATATATATTTGTAAAGCAAAAAAATTAGCAAAAAACATGCCGCAAACCCGATTCTGATACATCTTATAGAAACAGAAATACAGCACTGGCCATTGTAGGTTGCGTATCAACCTAGCATGGCCATTGTTTCTTATGAACCACAAGAGCAAAAAATAAATTGATATATATTTGTAGAGCAAAAAATTAGCAAAAAAATATGCCGCAAACCAGATTCTGATATATCTCATAGAAACAGAAATACAGCACTGGCCATTTAGTATCAAGCTAGCATGGCCAATGTTTCTCGGTAACGGCAGAAGCAAAAAAAATTCAAAATTGGGTAAAAAAATAGCAAAAAATTTGCTAAAAAATATAGTATACGTCGCTCTGTGGGCTTATGCCATTCTAGCTTTGTAGACATAAATTATGAAATGTTACTGTTTTACATGCAAAACTATTAATTTTTAAATATCATACATTATAATGAAAAGTAAGGAAATTAAGGATCAAAAAGATTATTTCGAAGTATCAAAAACTAGTTCAGTAGAAAGTTTAATTAATACTTGGCCTACAAAACAAAAAGATTATAAAGATACAACGGTGTAGAATTTACTAATAAAAGTTTCCAAGATTTGGTTAAAACATCAAGAATAGTACATCAGTTCTCTGTTCCATACACTCCACAATAGAATGGTGTAGCAGAGAAAATGAATCGAACCATAATGGAAAAGGCAAGATCCATGATGCATTATGCAATCATCCTTTTTTGTCAGAATCTGTAAATACTTTCGTTTATTTAATTAATAGATCACCTAGCCAAAGTTTCACCTGGTGTCACACCCGAAGAAAAATAGATTGGTAATAAAATAGACCACGCCCATTTAAAAGCTTTTGGGTGTATTGCTTTTCCTATATTCCTAAAGAAAAGCGAAAAAAAACTTGGCAAGAAGTCAAAAATTAATATTTGTGGGTTAAAGCGAAGAATCTAAAGCATAATATAAGCTCTTACATTCTTACTCCTATATATTATCCTTTGTGCCACGTTCTCTAGCATTAAATGTACATATGTGAGGTTTAAGATCACCAGTGATGCAAGCACAAGCTACTCTTCATACCTTTGAGATATTAGCTCTCGTAGTAGCTATACTAATTCTATTAATCCAAACTTTAGCTCTGTAAGTGATGATTGCTCTCATTATTGTTATATGCATCCATCGCAGAGTTTTCGGATTACATCCCCATCTTTTTCTTGCAATGTTCATGCATAATATTAGTGTTTTTGTGGATTTATTTATTACTTCCTTCTCATGTATATTCCAGAAAAATTTACGGCCAGGGTTAGGCCTAGATATTTTTCATACTATATAGGTAGTGCTTATTATTTTCTATTTGGCATAGCCGTGCTTTCACAGTGAACATGTGTCAACTACGATATTCTCGCTATCGCTATACACTCTGGTTTTGTCACCGACATTCGCTTCGGGTAATAGCCCACCACCATATCTTCTTAGTCTAGTCGACAACTGACTGTTGCCCTGTTGTCATTTTATTAACTTATATACTAGTCGTATGCCTAACACGAAAAAATAGGTACTATATATCCCTTCTATTTTGACTGTTTCAAGATCGAGTTCTCTTTTCCCTGAAAAGGCTACTAGTGTTGTTTTGATAGAGTTTAAACCAAGTATAACCTCGTGGTATCATCTTTTGGTCTGTTCTAGTCCTTTCAGTCTATATGACACAGCATATTTTCACATCTTTCTCTAGCAAATATGGATATGCCGAAGTCAGGCAATCTGCAATCTCTTTGTGTGATGGTGTCTTGCCCCATCATTGTTTCTGAAGCTCTCATAGATAGCAGCTGAGCTATTTATCTGGATGTCGTGCTACCTACTATTCTGTATTAGAGTGCTCTTTTGACAGATTCGTGCAGTGTGTTGTCAAATGCTTCTTTTGTGTCTAAAAAAGATTGTCAGTACATCCTGCAGTTCCTCAGTTATCTGTACCGGGCCAGTTTTGGCCACGCGAGCTGGCTGTGGTGGAGTGACGTCCTCCTCAGAATTTATATTCTGATATAATTATCAACAACCTTCTCTATTGTTCTTAATTCAAAGGATGTAAGGCTGATTGGTAGGAAGGCTTTAGGATGTGTCGTATCCATTTGTCCTATTTTTAGGAAAAAGATGACTAACCTTTTTGCATGGTTCTGGTATATATTCAAGTTCCAGATTGCTTCGGGATATCCAGATTCAATGTGGTAATAATTCTTTCTGTTTTCGCTGAAGCAGGGCTGGAAATTTTATATCCAAACCTGGCAGGTGTGCAGTCTCGCTGTCGCAAGTGTAGAGTTGATCTCCTTGCAGAATTTCCTGAAGCTGTTACGTTTAGCTTTACTAATTTCTATATTGTAGGTGGTTAGTGCCTGGGTGTAGTTTCGCAATCTTCGCTGTGCTTGGCCCTGTTATAGAGTTTTCGCACTTCGGATCTTAAGCATGATAGATTTTTAAAAATCATATCCATATTCATAATTGAAATTGAACATTAAAACTGCATTAATGATATGAGATTTATCCTAAAAACTTAGATTTAGTGACATACGTAGGTAATTTACATAATGAAATGAAACATTGTAATCATAATTAAAGTTTAAGTAGCTGTATGTTTTCACTGACAATTATTGTTTAAGGTTGTGGATCAAGTTTACCAGTGGAAATTATCAGCAGCGACTTGGAATATAAGAAGTATACGGCACGTAATGAGCTATATTAGCCTTTGATTAAGTTTTTACTAATTGCTGGAATTTAGAAACTTCTTGTTATCATACAAGTATACAGGATTTCTGTAATAATTCGTAGACTGTATCACCACCATTTTTTTTGGTAAAAATATCTGCCCTTACTTTACTGACATTTTCATTATCTATAAATTCTGTAACGCCGTATACTCTTATATTCCTGCTTCTTTCAACACTTTCCTGCCTCTTATGTTGTTTGATAATATTAGTAACTATTAATTATTTGTGAACAGTTTTAATCATTTAATCGCAGCACTGCGAAACATGTTTAGCTTTCACGATACATCGATATATAATATTTGGTATAAATTTATAGAACACCTAATCAGTTTTAGCCCGTCAATAATAATTTATAATTTGAAAACTTACAGCTTGAGCCCGATATCTAAATGCAATTTGGACTGTCATTGCAACTATATGAAGTACAACCCAGTTTGTTCCCAAGACGGTAGAACAACATACATATCGGCATGTCAAGCAGGTTGCCGACATGTCAGCAGAATAAATGGATCGAATGTATTTACTGATTGTACATGTATTAGAAAAGATGAAACGGTCGCATCCGAACCAATGATAAAAATGAAAAAGACATCTCAAGTAGAAAAAGGATCGGAAGACGAGAGAAAATCTGAGAGTGGGTTTGCGATTCCCGGACGTTGCCAAGTTGATTGTCTTACTCAATTTTATACGTTCTTAATCGTCGTTTGTCTATTAAAGTTTGTCGGAGCTACAGGGCGAACTTCCAATTTTCTGGTAACAGTCAGGTAAATTTATAACACTAGTCACTTTATTAAAATGAAAAACAATAACTTTTAGATTAAAAGAAAATCACCAAAAATAAATCTAATTTATTTTTTGTGAGAACCCAAAAAATTTGTAATAAAAGTAGTAACATGGAAAAATAATGCCTACAACGACTTTATTGACTGCTAACTTACCTCGTAGTTTGTATAGCTTCTGAGAAGAGAATAAAAAATCAAGGCTGGCTTATATAAACAGAAAATGTTTTAATAAATGAACATAAAATATAATCACACATTTCTTTTCAAAATCAAGAAACAAAAGTGTATTTTTATTGTTTGTAATTACTAACGAATATAAAAAAAAGAACACGTCATACTCTATGTTCTTTAATAATATAATAAATTAAATTGGAATTTTATATCGAAATCCTGAAAATTACCGTGGCAGTCTTAATAAATGTTAATGTTAAAGTGTTAATAAATTATCAAGATTTGTTAAAAATGTATTCTATAAGTTTTGTAAGGAATGATTCGAGGTCACTAGGTGATAAAAACTTTATTAAGATTAAAAATCATTGATCTTGCTGAATAACTAATATACTCGTATGTAGATTTGTAATGTTAGTGAAAATTTTAGAAAAAGAAGTTTGTTAAAATATAACACCAAAGTATGTAATTTTTATTGAAAAAAAAAACGATTATAATTCTACAAGTGTTTTTAAAAACATAAATTTTATTTAAACGCTTTCAACTTATTTAAGGAGGGGGGTAAGGATAATTCGTGCAAAAAAATGAAAATTTTTGTGAATTTTTTTTGACGACACAGTTCAAATCTCTTTATTTAAACTAATGATATATTAAAGTATAACATTTAAAGAATATTGTGTCAAATTTTCATTTAGAAATATTAAAAGATACGGAAATGGCAGAAATTATTCGGAAGCGTCTCGGAAAAAAGTAGAATTGCGGTGCCCCTCCTAACTCGGTGCTGGATCATCAGAAATAAAAAAATTAAAGTTCTTTCGTTAGATAATTATTTTCCCCAGGTAACGCTGAAAGGGTTTTTCGAAATTTCAATTTTTCACTTTTTTGGGTACACTTTGAAGTAAAAAACGGGATTCTTGCATAAAAAATAGGGTGCATAAATAGTGCTCAAAATTTTAAAAGGATAGGTACAGTAGTTTTGAAGTTATGAGGGAATAAAACGTTCATAAGCGAGTTTTATCAGCTTAACTCACACTGAATTATCGATGCCAGATCCATAAAGGATGTTGCTATCATCCATGATGTCTAAAGCATCTTTTTGCTCCTGTCTACGACGAATCTTCAGTTATGAGCGCTTGATCCACTACCGATTTCAATGCCTTGCGTGTAGGTTAGTAAAGAAAAATAACCTGCCTAGCCAATGCTGCCTAAATTATATACAGTACAGGTATAAACACGTTTGTACTTGTATTAAAATTTCTATAAAAAAAGGTAGGAGGTAAGGTTAGGGATTATATAGATAGCAATACATCTGCAAGGTAACAATAGGCCTTTTCATCATGTGATGAGAGCAAGCGCAGCCGGCATGTTAAAATGGCGCCAATTCAAAAGTTTCGTAATATTTCGATCAACAATGGCTAGAAAAGCAATATTATCTCTACAGACAAATCAGTTATTAGAAAAAATCGTTGATGGTGATTAACATTTTTATAACTCTGTGGAAGCACATAGTTGTAAGCAATTGAAAAGATGCTGGAAGTGTTGTGGACGTTCGGAACAAGGAAAAAGTGTACTGATTGATAGGTTAGGTTTCATTACTTGTGTACTTAAAAAATTGATGAAAACAAATAATAATTATAACTCTATTCTAATTAATTATACCAACCAACTATTAGTAATTGCAAAAACACTTTAACATGAAAGTTAATCACGAGTATAATTAATAAGATATATTATTTAATGTTTTAAGGATTAACATGACATTTTTATTAATATTACTGTGTATACCGAAGTAGTATTTAATATTAAAAAAATATTGTTTAATACCAGATAAGGAGTTTCTTCCGTTGAACCACTGTACATGAAAATGTAGTAAACAAATATAAGTATCTTTAGTAACATTATCAATCGATTGAAAACCATTGTCACTTCACCTATAATGCTTATTTTGAACATCTTTTAATATGTATTTTGCCTAATAATCTGATAATTTTTTTACGATATTGCAGGCAAGTCTTTGAAAAATTTATAAAATAATAATGCATTACCTTTGAATGATTTATACCGTGTGCCACTTTTACATACTCCATAACAATACCATAATTACTTAATTGATTGCAAAAATTTATTATTTAATTATTACTTATTACTTTATTTTTCCTTTTTTTAAATGAATATACTTAACTGAATATTTATCGATTATAATTTTTTTCACGTGGACATTTTAACATGCTTGTTTACTAAAAACAGTAGGAAAAAGATGGCTGATACTGAAGCATGCGCACAAAAAAATTGTGATGAAAAGGCCTATAGCGCGCTCGGGCCGGGCAATGTGTTTTCTGATGCGCTGAGTCATGTATGAGGCGCGGTTACTCAGACCGCTGTATATTCGTTAGTTTTGATCAGAATGATCTCAAATTTACACACAATATTCTTGAAAGGCTCCATTTACAAAATCAAATATAAAAAAATGCAAAAAAGTTTAAAAACTTTACCCCCTTAATGTACAAACATTACCAGTTTAACCTGTGAAATACATTTTTATATAATCTAAATATTATAATTGTTCCATCCTGGAAAGGTAAAACTTTTACATTATTCTACAGCACTAAAGGTTGTGGCTACATTGGCTTCCTATAAAAAAAAATTCAATTTAAATAAAAACATCTCTTCCTGCTCCAATTCTTGCTTCTATATTTATCTAACTCCTCCTTTTCGACACCTCATGTTCTACTGCACACTGCTCTATCTTCTTTTTTTTTATATCTCCTGCTGTCTTTAGTACCTTACTTCTTTCACTGCTTTTCCTTTCTGTAATTACTCTTTTAAATAAATTTTTCTTTATACCTTTTTAACTTTATTTTGCTTCTATTAATCCTTTTTAGGGGTCTATTCTGTAAGGTTTTAGTAAATTTTAACTGCTAGGTGGTTAAAATTTTAACACAAATGTCTATTCGGTATTTCATCAGTTTATCTTCTTGTTATTAGTTATTTTATAATGCTATTATAAATGCAATCTACACATCCAATAAAAATAGTTTTTTTCTACGCCCATGTCAGTAAACGTTAAAAATCGCACTGTCAACATTCCGTGTAAATAACATTTAACAATAACAGGCACGTAATGAAATCTCACAACATACACGTGCTTTTTAATAAGAAAACTTAAATTTCTTAGTTTAATCAAATTGCAATCAATTTTTTATCTTCGTAAGACTTTATTTGGTTTATTTACATATATTTAGTAAATTTAAAAACAAAAACTTTCAGCATTAGCGAGATACATATTGGATTAAAAAAGTGATGCCCCTAAATGTCGGCAATACATTATACATTACACAAAATATTGAATTCGAACATTTTCTTAAGGAGGTCCTTTCGCCACCAATGTTAAATAAAAAATATTAGATTATGACTAAAATTAATTTTTTTCTAATAGTAGATGTCCTTATTTATCTAATAGTGAACTTTTAACTATACCTTACCGTGCAAATTTTTGAGAATTTTTTTTTTTAAATGTGTGTGTTTGTACAGTGTCTTATGAGAAAGTAAGACTTCAACAACAATTTTCGAATTATAATTAATTTTACTATTATTTATTGATTAGATGGAGTAGAAAAAAACTAAAAATAAGGTTTTTGAAATATTTAGGTTTTGTTTTTTACAATAAAATATATAGGTTGCCGTGGAATTTATTGAGAAATTATTATTAAAAAATCACAAAAAATTTTCAACTAGGTTGTAATGAAGGAAAGTATAAATTACTATCTAAACTAATTTTTTTGTGAATAAATTTTGAATATACGTTTGACATTAACCTTTAATTTCATTAGGCAACTTTTCATACACTTTCTCGTAAATACTGTTGCCTAATTACCTATTCTGTGCACATGTTTTAATATTTGTTTACTTATATATAAAAATAATAAATGAATCTTTTCACTTGTTTAATAAATCAATATACTTTTATTATAACCAAAAAATACATTTTTTTAATTATGAATTCTATTAAAAATGATACTGCCAGTTACACGCAAAATCGTCCTTTAGTTCATATTTTAGTTAGCGCTGCCGTCACGCACGGAGCGAATATCTTACCAATAAAGTTTAGACTTTAGCATAGATTTACAACTGACATAGGTTATAATTTTAACCAAATATGACCTACAGAATACAAAATTCGCTAGTTTTATAAGCTATGGTTAATTTTAACCAAATTTTTACAGAATGGACCTCTTAATATTTTATACATCTTTTAAATATTTATTTCCCAACTGACAATTCTATCACATCTCTGACAATCTATAATCTAGCTGACAAATCTAATTAAAATTTTAAATATCCCACTACCATTGCCGTCACCAAGGCCGTTTCAAATAACTTATCGATGCCAACGATACAGAAAAGAAACATGATGGTACGATAACGGAATCATGAATATATATTGTAGCATTACATCAAAATTAAACATAAAACATGAACTTCTTGTAGTAAATAATTTAAATTTATCTAAATTTATTAATTACTATTTTTGTAAAAAAAAATTATTTATAATTTTTGTTTTTGTTATTCAGATGTGTAGATGATAAAGATAAATCAGTAGCAATGGGATTTGGACTGATGTTGATGAGCCTCTGTGCGTTCGTACCCTCGCCAATTTTGTTTGGAGTTATTTTAGGTGAGCCACAAATTTTTGTATTGTTTATAATTTTCAAGCATCTTGTTTTGTGTAGAAATGAAAGTGGTCAAATAATTTGCCATCAATATTTTCAAGAAAGATGATGTGCTTGAATGCATTTGCTCAGTTTTACTTTTAAATTATATCTTATAACAGAAGAAAAGTTGGAAAGGCTTTTGCCAGTTCTCCCACTTTATACACATAAATTGACAGGTTTGCGGCGGATCTCACCGAAGTGGACGCGATACATTGGCGTACAAAATTATTTTATAGATGTTAATAACAATTTCGAGTAAACAGTTTAATAAATTGTAAATAGCTGTTGAAATTTTGTAAAATTATGATTTGAATATTATAATACATGTTTAATAATTATTTATAGTTCATAAATACATGCGATTGTCCGGTTCCGCCAATAACAATTTAAAATTACTTATTCTATGAAACGACACTGGCAGGTAAACATTACTGCGAAATTCTCGAAGCCGTCCGACGTGGTTTGACGTTTACCCCCTCACTACCTACCAAAAGCCTTTCCAACTTTTACTTTCGCTATACAAAATCGCGATCAATTAAATTTTGTAAAATTTTTCAGATGTACGAAGTGATTAAATACGCAGAAAATAGTAACTAAATGTTTGAACACATCTGAAATATTTTATTTATAATAGATATAATTAAATTGCTAATTGAAAGGGGCACACACTTTCTCATGTGTTTTAAGTGGTACCTTTCAATTAGCAATGCATCTTTGTCAAACTCATTTTTTTTTTTTTAATTATAGACAAGGCTTGTTTGGTTTGGGGCAGGACTTGTGCAGGGAACGGGAACTGCTGGCTGTATAATGGCGAAACATTAAGATATACCATGAATTTCACAGCTGCAACGTTTGTATTCATCGGCACCTTATTTGACGTGGGGGTATGGTACTTCGTCAAAGACTTAGAAATATTCGAAGAAGAATTAGAACTACAATTAGAAAAACCAATTAATTAAACAGTTATTTTTTTTTAATAAATAATTTTATTCTATATTTTACTATCTTAATTTTCTATAAATTTGTTTCGACTAAAAAATGTGGAACTGGGGCTGGCCTTTTAGGCTGAGTACTATCAGGAGCGATGAGTATCAAAGGCTCATGTCTTGGTTTCTTGGGCTTTGGTGTGTTAATTTGTGGAGCAACTTGAAATACTATTTTACCCTGTGACACCTTTATGGATGGCTCAGAATCGTTACCATCTGAAGCATCTATAATAGAATCAGCAAATCTGTATAAGGAGGAGAGGTCTGATTCACCTGAAGCCTTTGAATGTCTTTTATTACTATTTCTTGAATTTGGCCTGACTTCATGAAGGATCTCAGATTCGCCGGAAGGCTCCATTCGTACTACTGGAGTGCTTGTTACAACTGCTGCACCTGCAGACGCTGGAGGCTTTATTTTTTTTAATGGTGGTACTAGCTCCCCTTCTGCGATATACGTTTTAATTCTTTCTTCTCTGGATGAAGGTCTCTGCAATCTGCTCTTAATTCTTTCACCTAGTTGCCTAATAAAAGGTGAATCTTCTTCTATCGCTCTATTTTCTTCAGAGGTACCACTTGTTGTATTAGGAGTTCCAGCGACTACAATATTGTGATTATCAGTAGTATTGTAATTTGATAATTGATTTGAATAAAGTTTTAGATCTTTCACAAAATATAATAATATTGCAGCGAGGATAATTGCGCCAAGCATAAAGCTTATTGTTATTACCGATATTACGATGGGAAACGATTCAGAAAAGTATTGGCATCCTTTTAGGGTATGTATTTCACAGAACATATCTAAAAACAAAAAATAAACGAGTTAAATACTGGGTGATAGATTCCATCAAGGCTGGTCCAGAAGCTTATTAATGGGGTGTGTAATAATTGCTTACTCTGCTAAAAATATTGAATCAAATTAAAATATGTAAAAGCTGCTTTTTTAGGATTGCCGAGATTAGCCAGGAAATATATTACTTTCTTTGCCAAAAGCCCAATATTATGAACTTATAAAAAGACTTACTAGCTATAAAATGATATACAATCTTGATAGGAATAAACGGTATTATGCCTAAAAATGTCAGTTCCAATCCTAAAGCAGTTGCTTTATATTTTGTAGGTACAGATCGAAACGTAATAAGAAAATTTACTATAATAGTACTGGCTACAAGCCCATTGCTTAGGATATTATTAACTTGGGCGAATGCTAGTACAAATTTACAGTTATCTTGGTCACATGATCCTCGAGTTACTACTGATCCACAACTGCAATTGTGATACACCTAAAAATAATGCAGTACAGACATCCATAAAATCTCAAGTTCAATTTTGGTCTTACCGATGTTGCTGATGAATAGTTTCTACATCCTGCTAGGCAAGGTGAAAAAAAGGTTTTCCCATCAACACAAACTGGCTGAAAAGACTCCCCATATGGACAATTACATTTACTGCTGCAAAATGGGATCGTTATAACATGTTGGTGTTCATTATATATACCCTTGGTGCAATTTAGAAATACGTTACTAGAAAATATTAGTACCACTAGTATGAACGCAACAATAATCCAGATAACGAGATACTTTGGCTTTGGTCTCATTTTTGATATAATCAATCCACAAGTGACCATGCATACAGCAACTAACGGTTGTCTTAATAGATTTGTAGTAAATTGTATTATATCAGGATCAGAATATCCAGTTGAATCCTTTTCTTCAATGGGCACATGGTACTTGGACTGATTAAAATATTTTTCAATTAGGCTAAAATTTACTAAAGCCGATTGCATTAAAACAAACGACATTATGTTTAGTAGAAGCACTTTGTTTTTTAACAAAGAACACAGTACTTTGCAAAAGCCTAAAAAACAGAAGTTATTTTAGCATAGATTTGTTGTCAATTTAAATGATTCTTACTGTGTTCAGTTTCGTCATCGTCAAAAGGTAGTCCACCGGACGCTATGCTGACTAAAGAGTTCACTGACTTTTTTATTGCAAGAGTGGGGAGGACTTTAGGAAACATCGCCATTGCAATGCCAACACAAAAAGTGATGATAATTAAAAGTATCCAAACTGAAAATAATTATATTAATTATAATATTTAAAATATGTTGTTTAGTTAGTTTTTGCCTAGTAGATCGGATTAAAATACTACAATACTAAAATTTTACCCGCAGCCGATTTTATGTTTAGGTTCAAGATCTGAAATAAACTCTACATTTTAAGCCTTTTTTAGTTATAGTCGAATTTATTCATAAAAATCTAAATTTATAGCTATACCTTACGTGTAAAAAAAGTATTATGAGCAAAAAAGAAAATTTCTGTCTATCGGTATTCACCATAACTTTTAAAGGAATTGCGCTATAGATAGGTGTTATTCCATTAGGGGTCGAATTGGAATATTTTTGAATAAAATTGGTAAAGGGGAAGGGGGTGAAATGTCGGGGAAAATGGTAAAAAATTGCAATTTTTCGTAAAAAATCGAGTGATATGTCGTTTTATAGGTTTTTGGCTATGGACATTTTGATTTTATAATCCGTTTAATATTTTAATAGATAATTAGAAAATTTAAATTAAAATTAAAATATTTAAAAAATCGAGTTGTCTCGTACTATTTTAATTATAAAATTCGTTTAGTGATTTAAAAAAAATACGGATAATTGTAAAAAAGGAGGGGTAAAAATTGAAAATGTTTGGATAAAAAAGTAATAAATCGTCTTAAAAGTTAAACGGCAACAGAAATTTGGAAGTATTGATTCAATTTGCAGCAGTATTTTTTTGGTTGTTGTTGTTGTTGTTGTTGTTGTTGTTGTTGTTTGAACAACCAACCACTGCACAATTTACCATAGTAAATGTTTAAAATAATGTTCTTAAATATAACATATAAAAAGATGTATGCACGTTTACTTCTAAAACACAACAAACCAAAAAAACAAAATTAAATAATCAGTAATACACGCAAAACCACTTTGGGCCGTATAGAACTGGCTGTTGCTGAGTCGGGTAATGTCTCCCAGTGACGTCAGGCGTGCGAGAGAGATGGGCTGATCGCATGCGCGTGGGTTTATCTTTTCGAGTAATAGTATCATGTCTTTAATCTAAACTCTCTTTACGTTCTATACGCTCTATACTTTCTATAATCTCAATATTCTCTATAATCTCTATACCCTTTTACTTTCTATACTCTGTCCTCTCTTTAGTCTATATATTCTCTATACTCACTGTACTCTATATATTCTGTACTCTCTATACTTTCTATACTTTCTATACTTTCTATACTTTCTATACTTTCTATACTTTCTATACTTTCTATACTTTCTATACTTTCTATACTTTCTATACTTTCTATACTTTCTATACTTTCTATACTTTCTATACTTTCTATACTTTCTATACTTTCTATACTTTCTATACTTTCTATACTTTCTATACTTTCTATACTTTCTATACTTTCTATACTTTCTATACTTTCTATACTTTCTATACTTTCTATACTTTCTATACTTTCTATACTTTCTATACTTTCTATACTTTCTATACTTTCTATACTTTCTATACTTTCTATACTTTCTATACTTTCTATACTTTCTATACTTTCTATACTTTCTATACTTTCTATACTTTCTATACTTTCTATACTTTCTATACTTTCTATACTTTCTATACTTTCTATACTTTCTATACTTTCTATACTTTCTATACTTTCTATACTTTCTATACTTTCTATACTTTCTATACTTTCTATACTTTCTATACTTTCTATACTTTCTATACTTTCTATACTTTCTATACTTTCTATACTTTCTATACTTTCTATACTTTCTATACTTTCTATACTTTCTATACTTTCTATACTTTCTATACTTTCTATACTTTCTATACTTTCTATACTTTCTATACTTTCTATACTTTCTATACTTTCTATACTTTCTATACTTTCTATACTTTCTATATTTTCTATACTTTCTATACTTTCTATACTTTCTATACTTTCTATACTTTCTATACTTTCTATACTTTCTATACTTTCTATACTTTCTATACTTTCTATACTTTCTATACTTTCTATACTTTCTATACTTTCTATACTTTCTATACTTTCTATACTTTCTATACTTTCTATACTTTCTATACTTTCTATACTTTCTATACTTTCTATACTTTCTATACTTTCTATACGTTCTATACTTTCTATACTTTCTATACTTTCTATACTTTCTATACTTTCTATACTTTCTATAATTTCTATACTTTCTATACTTTCTATACTTTCTATACTCTCTATACTCTCTATACTCTCTATACTCTCTATACTCTCTATACTCTCTATACTCTCTATACTCTCTATACTCTATACTCTCTATACTCTCTATACTCTCTATACTCTATATACTCTATATACTCTATATACTCTCTATACTCTCTATACTCTCTATACTCTCTATACTCTCTATACTCTCTATACTCTCTATACTCTCTATACTCTATACTCTCTATACTCTCTATACTCTCTATACTCTCTATACTCTCTATACTCTCTATACTCTCTATACTCTCTATACTCTCTATACTCTCTATACTCTCTATACTATCTATATTCTCTATACTCTCTATACTCTCTATACTCTCTATACTCTCTATACTCTCTATACTCTCTATACTCTCTATACTCTCTATACTCTCTATACTCTCTATACTCTCTATACTCTCTATACTCTCTATACTCTCTATACTCTCTATACTCTCTATACTCTCTATACTCTCTATACTCTCTATACTCTCTATACTCTCTATACTCTCTATACTCTCTATACTCTCTATACTCTCTATACTCTCTATACTCTCTATACTCTCTATAATCTCTATACTCTCTATACTCTCTATACTCTCTGTACTCTCTATACTCTCTATACTTTATATACTCTCTATACTCTCTATACTCTCTGTACTCTCTATACTCTCTATACTTTATATACTCTCTATACTCTCTACTTCTGTTTATATAAAAGTACATACCTGGCGATGAAAAAATTGAAAATATTTTTGAAACATAAGGCACCCATGAAAAGTAAATGCCAAATTGTTTCCCTGCTTCTTGGGCTGCCAAAGTTAACCCTGAAACATTGTGGTAATAACAAAACGACATTTTAAAAAATAATGTAAACTACCTAGTAAAGCAGGACCATGTTTGGCAGAAATATGATCGTCAACGTAACTCAATCCATGAGTTATAAAAGAAATAGTAACCATACTAAAAATAATTTGAAATATGAAAAAATATCCAAACGTAACTTCATTGAAACTTTCAGATCCCAAAAGATCCTTAGTGTAACGCTCTTCATTTTCATTGCTACAAAGTGCAGGACCTAAAAAATTCAGAAACCATAAGTTGCCTTTAAAAAAAAATATTTTAATGTTTGTAATACGAAATACATTGTTCGGTAGTTTAATGCACTGCTGTTCATTTATTACAGTGGTGTAGATAGGGGTGCAGGGATCAAGGGGATAAATCATCCATGGGTCTACGAAAATTACGAGTATATTAAATAAATAACTCTTCATCTATGTATATTTATGTCACATCCCTCCAATCGCAAAAGCTATCTACGCCACTGATTCATTATTGTCAAATAAATTGTCGTGAGCACAAGTAACCCAACTATTCAATTGACACTTGCCCTAATAATTATTTTAATTAATCATATGCTATATAATAACGGGTGAATCCTTGCCACAATAATATCTATCTATATACTGAACTTAAACTGCATTTTGTACCGTCATTGGAACATTCGCTACCTTCTAGAGTTACTTAAATAAGTTCCTTCGCCAAAAATTATTATTTAGAGAAATTAAAAAATGAATCCACAAAATTTTAGGCGTTCTTCCACTAACAACCGACAGAACTAGAACATACATCGGCGATCCACCGCTTCATAGACTGGTGCTTCTCGTAAATTCTAAAATTTTACTAATAGAATGCAGTTTCTTCAATAAATAAATGGGCATGGTCATGGGCGTACCCTGGGGTTTCGAATGTTGACTTATTCTATTGAATATTCTTGGTAATCGAAAAAATGGAGGCCGTAAAAGGTCCATAAGGCAGAGAGAGAGTTAAGGGATTACAGTAGACATGGACTGGTTGAAGATGGCTTCCATGACATTAATTGATGCTAACATGACGTTTCCGGCCAACAGTGTAAAATTTAATGATGTGATACTCTTCTGGGTGGCTCCGGTAATAGAGAAACTCTTTTTTTTTTTATATTATAATGTGTTATAATAAGCCTTCTGCCAAACTTACATAAATAATAAAATGTCAAAATAATTGACATTATGTGCGTATCTGATCGTAACTGTGTTTTAGGGGCCAAGGATTATCCAGTTATTCTATAGACATCATACAGGGTGAATCCTAAGTTGATACTTATTTTTAACTGTGTATAAAAGTCGTTAAAATAAACAGCAAATAAACATTTCTAAATTGGTTTTTAAAAAACTTAAACAATGTGTGTGACAGTAAAAAAATATCTAAGAATTATGGAAAGAAAAATTATGAGAGCCAATATTAGGGCCAATTAAAATCACAGAAGAAGAAGAATGCAGAATTGGGACAAATGAGAAAATTAAACAAAAAATAGAAGACATAATAACATAAATAAAACAATCCAGAGTTAGGTTGTTGGGACACATTTGGAGAGCAGGAAATTGAACATTGGTTTATTAGCTGTTACAATGGGACCCAGGAGGGAGAAGGAGACATGGAAGGCGCAGATCAGGATGACTCAAGAAGGTAAAAGAAGATTTGCGTAGGGCAGGATTAAATAATTGGCAAGAAAAAGTATTATCTAAGAGAATGATCTATCTAAGATAATGATCGACCCAAAATTGGGATCTAGAGAGTAAACAACGGCTTAACCCCACTATTTATATAATAATAAAAAAGATACAGTATTAAAAAATCTATAAATCCGGACCTGGACTTACGTACGAAGAGTTAAAAGAATGAATAGGTCTGTTTATGTTTCATCTGTTTTTTCGGTTTTTCTTACGACAAATCACGACTATTGTAATGCAGTCGCCTGATTTAAGTTAGTAGTTTAGTAGTGTATTTACCTGTTCAGGATGGTAAATTGAAACTAAAATTCATTTAGAAGAACACATTTGAAATAATGTTATGGAGTATTTTTTGGTGGATAAGTGCGCGGGTAATTGCAGATTAGAGGGTATAAGTTAAAGAAAAGTGTGGACAACTGCGGGAAAATCAATTTTATCCCTTTCAAGTTTAACTTGAACATAGTTAATTTTTGTGAACGATTCTTACGCCATGAATGTAATTTTTTGATGAAAGTTATACAGGACTGTATTGGATTCATTTTGGAATAAATTATAGTTTCTTATTTTTAGGTTTATTTAAATATACACAGTTAAAAGAAGTATCGATTTAGGATTCAGCCTGAATAACATCCTCATTTGGCGGAAAATTCAAATTAAAATTAGATTGTAGAGAACTTTTGTCAATTAATTCACCTTAGTCAATAAATTAATAACTCCTACCTACCATTCTATAATACTCTATATAAATACTATTTGATGATTTGCGCTCATTCTAGAATTCTTTCGGCTCTACTGCTTCTCTGAAAATAAACAACATAAAAAAATATTAATTTTTTATATGAAAAAATAAAATACCACTGCGAAATGAAGACGCTAGTTTGACAACAATGTTGGAATGTATGTAACAAATATTACCTTAAAATAAATGTTTCAAAGAATCCATCCCATCTTAATTTTTTAATCTAAGAGTTAAACCCTTCAATTGTTTGATCTAAATTTAAAAAAAAAATAAGATTGCAATCATTTTACCTATTACTTATTTTTAATTATTTTTGAAACTTTACATCCCAACATTAATTTCTAAAATATTTATAGTTTTGTTAGCGTCTTTGTTGTAAAAGTGGTATTTCCTATAAAAGATTAACATTTATTTTAAGGTGACAATATTTTCAGATGAGCAGTCTAACACAATGTGTACAAAAGACTTAACTACTTTTTTATTTATTTAAAAAATTAATCTGGTAGAATTTGTTGGATATCAATTTTATTAACTTAAAAAAGGATTATTAAATATTATTTATTGAATAAATATACCTGTAATAGCATTCGTTATTTCAGTTTTGGTAAATGGGTTGTAAATTTCTGGTATAGCCAACGTCCCCCCAGACACAGCTATAAGCATTGTAAGAGCGCCCATCCAGGTTGTCCTGTGCATTCTGTTTCCCCAGTATGAAATACATAGCGCTAATATACCTACGAAGATTTCATTTAAAAATACAAACCAATCTGAAAAATAAATGTTTTTATTAATATTTAATCAGATTCAGAATTTTTACAAGTGGTCATGTAATATTTACAAAATTTTAAAACAGGGAAAATCATCAAAAAAAAAAACCGGACCATGTTTTATAGGATCAACTACCTTTATTATTCAAAAACGATATAAACTGGACCACCCTGTAATTATCATGTTTATACATTTCAAAGGTGTTTATATTTGTTTATCTTGGTTTTTGTTTAAAAATTTATTCCAAAAAAAAAATATTGTACAAATAAATCTTACGCAAAATCCAATTAACATTTTCCAAAGTTAAAAAAAAATCAATTCGGTAATTTGACTCTTGAGTATACCTATGCCTAAATAAGATTTAATAATAATCATAATTAACAAAACTACATTTTATTGAAAAACGATATTTTCTAAAATTACTACTTCGTTTTTACGTGGGTTTACATTTTTTATAATATATAGAAACCTTTATTTAATTCATACTCAAGTTCTATTTATATTATATTCAAATATATGAAAAGCTATGACACAGTTTTCACATAATTCAGGAAGTTTAGTTAAAAAGAGATAAGTGCAATTGTGTTTTGAAACACTATGAGGGCAGAGAATATTTGTTATATTTAGAATGAAATTATTATTTTCTAACAATCAATAACTTTGTATATAAATAATTATTCGAAAGATATACCTATAATAGCAAACGTGCCTATTATTTTAATTGAAAAAGTAGGTAGATTAAATATAGATAACGGTATCATCTATGTAAACACAATATGATGATTCATATTAAAAAAATTAACACTTACCTTCTACAAAACTTGGAAAATTATAATGTGAAAACCACAAATGTGATGTTCCCTTAAAGTAGGTACTGACAATACCGTGCATTAACCCTAAAAGCGATAGCACTGTAATAAACACAGAAAGTTTGGCAAGTTTTTCCAACCGCAAAAGTTGAGTTAGACACGGCAAAGCAGTTATACCACAATCAATGTCACTAAAATAATTTCCTACAGGAGCTGAAAATCTTTGCCCCCCTTCAGAGTCCGATCGAAATAAATTTGTAGGATGAACCATTATTTCTAACACATCATAACACTTTTGGTACAGTTTGTTAGTACCTGTTTAATTCTCTCACCGAAAGATAATTGTGTCAAATAGATAAAGAAGCGAACGATAAGATAGGAAAATTTTAATCGCAACCATTACTACAAATGTTACGAACACGACGGGAACTATCCAGGGTGACTCAATTTACATTAAATAATTTCATTTAGTCATTAAAACAGATAATTCAATTATTACAACAACTAATAACAGCACATTATATAAAATTCGTAAAATTATTGTTGTATCTGTATAAGTTGCAGTAACATAAGTGGATTGAATACCATTTAAAAACTAAAATGAAGATATTATAATGCTTGGCATTCTATATTATACTCTTTACAGTTCAACAAACCCCCCTTAACCCACATTTTTAAACAGATTTTTTTAGAATCAATAGGCTTCAATCACTTATAAAGCTTAATTTTTCTTGAAAATTTTAATTTTTTGTTTCCGAGTTAGGATTTTTTTCAATATTTCAACCCCCTTAACCCCCATTTTTATTCAGATTTATTCAGAATCAATATTCTCCATTCCCTTATAGAGATTGGTTGTTACTAAAAATTTCATGGTAATATCGCTTTTGGTTTTTTGTTTCAACTTTTTTTTGATTCAACCACCCCTTAACCCCCCATTTTATTCGAATTTTTTAAAAATCAATAGAGTTTATAAAGCTTTACTTTAAGTTGATATCATTTTTCGTTTTTTTATTATTTCAACCCTCTTAACCCCATTTTTAGTCAAATTTTTCAAAATTAAAGAGCGTCTTCCCTTTATAGAGCTCGAGTTTTGATAAAAAAAATTGATGTTGGTATGGCTTTTCGTTTTAGATTTATGATTTTTTTTTTATTTTTTACCCCTCTTAATTCCCTATTTTTTCATTTTTTCAATTTTTAATTTTTTTTTAAATCAATAAGCTTCGTCCCCTTATAGAGCTTGATTTTTGCTAAAAATTTCATTTTGATATCTCTTCTTGTTTTTGATTTATGATTTTTTTATATTTCAACCCCCTTTAATCCCCCATTTTTAATCAGATTTTTTAAAATCAATAGGCTTCGTCCCCTTACGGAGCTTCATTTTTGCTAAAAATTTCAAGTTGATACCATTTTTCTTTTAGGAGTAAGAATTTTTTTTCAATATTTCAACCGCCCTTAACCCCCACTTTTTTTTCAAAATCAAAGACTTCGTCGCCTTATGGTGCTTGATTTTTCCTAAATTTTCCTAATTTTTTTTTGTTTTTGACTTATCGTGCCGTCAAAAAAGGTGACATCGGACGGACGGAACTAAACGCATAATACTCTTCATATACTACTGTGTGAAGAGTATAATATTTTTTTTCTAATTTTTATATATAAAGTGACAGTTTTTTTGTAATCGTAACATGTGTCAAAATAAACTACTTTACATAATCAGTTGCATGTTGTTGAACATTATGAAACTGGTTTCAAAAAATTCATTATATCACCAGTTGCGAAAAGAAACCTTTTTCTGTTTTAAAATCAATAATATACATTATTATTGAAAGTTTATATCAAAGAAGGCATGTCGACTTATAAAAATAAAATTTGGTTAAACTTACAACCTAGTAGTAATGTTGCTTTGGTTCTTATTTTTCATTGTAAATCAGCACAAAATAATTAATACACAATACACGACAAAATAAACCACTCTTTTAAAAATTAAATAACTTTAATAAGCCACATAAACACACTACAAGTCGTTGAGAATAAATAATTAAATTACGTTCTATTTGTCAATAAAATTATGGATATGCAACTAACAATACAAGAAAATAGTAATATTGGTTGCCTAGATATCAGTAATTTCTTATCAAAACACAATTTTATAAATAATCTAGTCAAAATTAGAAAAAAATATTGAAAGTAACACGTTACGAAATGCCGTTTTATGTAACTTCTTCATGTTGCCGGACCTCACTCTGCTTGTCCCGCAAATATTCATTCGTTACATAAAATAAGACATTTCTTAACTGGTTTCATAAATAGCTATTATTTATAATATCGCTATTTAAACACATCAAATAACAAAACTTAAAACATCGCAGTAAAGTAAAATTACAAACTGTAAAGAGGTACAAACAAAATATGAATATTTATACAGTCAGCAGTCGCTAACAGGACATCGATCGTTTGGGTTACCGTTCTGGAATAGGTTAGGACATTCTCAATAGTATATCACAACTGGAAGTTGGAAAGGCTTTTGGTAGGTAGAGAGGGGGTAAAGTTCAAACCCGTCGGACGGTTTCGAGAATTTCACAGTAATGTTTACCTGCCAGTGTGGTTTCATAAAATAAGTAATTTTAAATTGTTACCGGCGGAACCGGACAATCGCATGTATTTATGTACTACAAATAATTATTAAACATGTATTATAATATTCAAATCATAATTTTACAAAATTTCAACAGCTATTCACAATTTATTAAACTATTTAGTCAAAATTGTTATTAACATCTATAAAATAATTTTGTACGCCAATGTATCGCGTTAACTTTGGTTAGATCCACCGCAAACTGTCAATTTATGTGTATAAAGTGGGAGAACTGGCAAAAACCTTTCCAACTTCTACCCCTGCTATATGTCTGATTGTCTTTATATCTCTGCAATTATGTCATATTGCAACAGTTGTGTGGGAAATATGCTAACGTGTCATGTGCCTGATTCTGTTCATTTTATGGGGGTAAGACAAAACCCAATGGTTTTTAGTTAATACAGAGCATTTACGCAGCATAGAAAATAAGGCCTGAAGCTGAAGAATAAGGTGTTGCAGCTAAGGTGTTATAACATAAATTATGGTATAATAATAACAACAGTTTTTCGACATTGCTCTCTAGTTGGTCCTTTCTATTTGGATGATAATAGGTTCTCCCTAGTCTGCAAAGTGTGGTGAGTGGGTTTCTCCACAGCCTACAGATTGTAGTTGACAATATCTCCGAAAAGAATCCTCTTTCATATTGACCGAACACAATTATTTTAATAGATGAGAGTGTCGGGCTTGTCGGGCAATTTTTAGAGTGCGGAGTCCGACAGTCCAATTTTATAGAAGTCCTTCCTTACTCAGCAATGATCAGCCAGAAAGCCTGCGATCAGGCACAGATTTTCTCTTGTCATAGTCAAGTATTTATTTGCTGTAGTGTCGTCAGGTTCCCTGGCAACTCTGCAGCTTGTTTCATTCCACCTTCTCTTAATTTTCACAATGGAATGTTCTTTCATTAGATTTCCGATGTTGTTAGTCCAATGGAAGGAACAGATCCAAAAGTGTTTGATAACGGCAAGACGGATACTTTTCGATGTGGCGTGGTCTTTGGTCCATCTTCAGGTGACCACACTGTTGATGGATACTTAGGTCAAGCTAGATTAACCCTGAGAAAATACATGGTTTGTCCGGTGTGAGTAGTGCTTGTCTGTTATCTGTATAGATGACCATGGTCTTTCCAGTGTAATCCTTTCTGTGAATTTACTCTCAGATATTTTGGAGTATCTGGAGTTTCTTACTATGGCATAGAATCCCATTTTCCCATTGTCTGTAAATATACTCCTAATCAACGTGTTGTTTAGATAAAATCAAGTAACTTTTGTTTTGAAGGCGTTGGGTTGGATTGAAGTCTTCACTTACGAAAGTATCTTATTCTACACTCACATGGATATTATCTTATCTACGCAGACTACAAAACAAAAAAGTATGCTATTGCGTTCAACTGATCGAATATATTTTATATCCATTTTTGGCAGTGAGAACTCTGCAAAAATATGAAATCCACCCACAGTTCATATTTTGGACACCTACCTACTATTATTTAAAAAAAAAATGAAATAAGTGACAATTCTGTCAAACTAATTGTCAATATATATTTTTTAGTTATTGAGATTAAATATACAATTAAATGAGCTATTTTTGTGTAGAATCGATAAATAATAGCATTTTTATTTGGTTCACATTTTGAACCAAAATTTACATTTTAATCAAACTGGCAGGGTACCAATTAAATTAATTTTGTTTCATGTTTATTTTATTTTATTTTATAAATTATTAAAAACTACTATTCTACAGTTGCTAGATTTAGCCAAACTCAAATTGTATTTCAATATTTTAAATGTTGTATTATGTTTTTGGTGCGAAGTCTAACCTGCTGTACCATAACAGCTGCTCCCAAGAACTTGTGACTTTATAACATCAGACATTTACATTAAAAGAGAAGGTTGATAACATCTTCATCACAGTCCCTGCATAAGCCAATTGTTTTTATATATTTGTTTAGATGTCTATGAGTCCTGATATATTCTGGATGCTGTTTCTGTTAATTTTTATTACCGGCTCAGTTTTCTATGCAAAATAACCCTTACGCAGTTTTAAATTAAGCTATTTACGTAGCTTGGAAAACCCAATTAATAGTTCAGGCACAATAAAGGGGTTGCTTTCTGTTAATCGCATTGACTTCTTCATTTCTGAAAATGTTGCTGTGTACTAGTACCCATACTAATTTTACACGGTTCCTTCTCTTTAATACAAATTGAGTTGAGGCAGTTCAGGACCGCTCATGGGGATGATCCGGAAAAATACTAATACGCATAAAGTTCCTTCGTTGAATCCGAGAATTTTAGAAACGAGTGACTTTTTTTGGAGTCCTGTACATTTGCTCGACAGGCTCGTTTTCCAATAAATAGTAAGCAATAGTATGGAAACAAACAAATCGATGACACATAAAAACCTAGTAAAGATGGTCTCTCAAATAATTTGCACTGGTGTGTCACGAGTTTGCTGGACTTGTCTTTGAATATTATTGACTGCTACAGAAATATATTTTTTTTAGCTTGAAATGCGACTACAAATACGGCGTTTGAATACCCTCCAAATGTAGTTTATCGTTTAACGCAACACCAATAATATAAATCACCTGTTTTTATCTTTCCATAAAAAACCTTGTATTTTGTATTGTATATTTTTGGAGATATAACAGTTTACACATTTGAGCAATTTTCACAATAATATTCCTTATATAAATATTAT